TGTTTATTATTTATATAATATATATAAAATGGATATATATATATTATATATATTATTAAAAAATAAATTTTACATCTACGATTACCAAAATATATGAGCATTATTTATTAATTAAATAAATAGTAGTTTATTAATTTTGCATTTTTTTTTAAAAAAAAAACTTTTTGAATATAATTATTTTTTTTTTTATACAAAATATTTTATATTATTTTCAGGCTAAAAATTAGCTAAAAAATATATTTTATTAACTTTAAAAAACTTTTAAAAAAGAAATAATTAAAATTAATAAAAATTAGATATTATTTAATATTTTAAATATAAATAAAATTTAACAAATATTTATACATAAAAGAAAATTTTTTTTTTTTTTTAAATACAGACAATTAATATAAAGAATTAGTAAATAAAAATTATATATATAATTATTTTAAAATTATTAAAAAATTAAAATTCATTCAAACAATCAAGTCATCTATAAAAATTAAAAATAATAATAATAATAATAATAAATTAAATTAAATTAAATTAAATTAAATTAAATTAAATTAAATTAAATTAAATTATATTATATTATATTATATTATATTATATTATATTATATTAAATTAAATTAAATTAATTAAAAAAAAAATAAAAAAAATAAAATAAAATAAAATTAATTCTTTTAAATCAAATTTAATTATTATTTATTAAATTAAATATATTATATCAATATATAAAACTAAATTAAAAAAATTAAAAAAATACCATAATCTTCATCTAATTCTGTAAGTTCTTCCCAATTTATTTCATATTCAATTATCGGTGCGTTTTTTGGTATCCCTAAAGCTTTATTAATCATTTTATAAAATCTCTTTGCAAACTTCTGTGGCTTTCTTAGTACAAACCCTGAATTAATAACTGATCCTTCAAACATTAATTTTACTATATCTTCAACATATAGATTAATTTAATTATTAATTACTAAACTTAATAATTTTTAAATAGCAGGATGATTTGGATTAATTTCTAATATTTTTTTCTAATTACTAAATTTGGAAATATTCTATCTATCTTAACTTACTGCTGACTAAATTCTTTCCATATGCGCCGAAAAGCCTTATTTTCCAGGTAAAATAACACACGGGTGGTCTAATAATCTTTACGAAATAATGACTTTTTCGATATCATTATAAAGTAGTTTATGTAGAAATTTTATTAAAAGGAGAAATTTTTGATAAATAAATTCATTTTTTTAAATTTCATATTAATTTTTTACAGGAAATTTGAAATTGCCTTTTCCTACATTTACAAATGTGTAGTTTTTGTAAGTTTTTAAATTCTAAAAAACAAATTCGTCTATTGTGTCGAATAATAAAAGCACTTCAAAGCCTTTTTTTAATAATCTTTATATAGTAGGGTGCTCCATTATGTGTTTTGGGCTTTCTCCGGCTAAATAATATATTTAATTTTAACCTAGTTTTGCCCTTTGGATGTATTTCTCGAAAGACGTTAGGTCTGTGTGGTTAAATGAGGAGTACCAACGACTCATTTTGGCTAGTTTTTCACGGTTTTCTTTATCTTCAATAATTCCTAGTTTTATACTTTTCCCGTATTAGTGATAGAAGGTCTAGTATTTCTTACGCTTATTTTATAAGTCAAATGCTTTTTTTGCTTCATTCTGTTAAAGCTCCTCAAATAAGTCGTTTTAATCAGTTTCGGACTATAACTCGGTAAAATCGTCGTCTTGTTCTGTAAGAATTTGGTGTTAGTCGGAATTTTCTGAGTCAGATAGGGAGTCTTCGTCATCTTCTTTTATATAACAGTTTCCTTATTCTTCTTCGGCCATTTAACGAATTAATTCAAGTGAATTATGGAGTAATTATTGTCTAATTATTAAAAAAGCGTTTTTTTGTTTTGATATATTTTCGCGATTTACATTCAATAAAAAATCATCGGAATCGACTAAACCTTATATAAAATTTAAATATTTAGGCATTAAATGCTAATCTTCTTAGTTTTCTAATATAACTGTTCTTATATATATTTTTATTTAACTTTCTTTATTATAGTAGTTTTCGTATAGGTCTAAAGGAGCTTTTTCATTTATAAATAAAATCGAAGTAAATTCTATGTCTTTTTCATTTCGAAAATGAACCCAAGTAAGGGGATTACTAGAAGTATTTTTTGTGTATTTTTTGAAAAAAACTATGTATTCTTCGTCTTCTATTTCTTCTTTAGGACGAAGCCATATAGGACTGTTTGTATTTATTATTTTATATTAATTTTAAGTATTTTTTTCTTTCTAATTTTAAGTATTTTTTTCTTTCTAATTTTAAGTATTTTTTTCTTAGTATTTTTAGGTATTTTTCCCTTCAATTTTTTTGGTATTTTTTTTTTTTTTTTTTGGTATATGATCTTTTTCTTTTATTTTAACTGGAAAAGTTATGAATTCAGAGTATTTTTCGATTATATTTTCTATTGTGTTTTTTTCAAGGAACTAGAGGGAATCTTCTTTTAAATAAAGAATGATTTTTGTACCTCTTTTTATATATTTTTTATCATCATCTACTTTTTTTATTGAAAAATAATTATTAGCAATACTTTCCCATATATATTGTTCTTGTAATTTATAATGAGTGGATATTAATTATACTTTTTTAGCTATTAAAAAACAACTATAAAATCCGATTCCGAATTATCCTACAATATTAATATCTCCATCTATTATATTTTTATATATATTTATATATTCGTAATACCTTTTATAGCTTCTATATATTTGGTTGTTCCCGTTTTTGCTATTATGCCTAGATTTGATATTAAATCTTATTTAGTCATTCCTATACCATTATCGGTTATTGATATTGTTTTTTCTTTTTGATTGTATTTTATTTTTATTTCTAATTCTTCATCATTTTCTTATTTTATTTCGGGAAAGTTTTATTATAAATAACGATATTTTTCTAAAGAATCCGAAGCATTAATTAAAATTTCTCTTATAAATATTTATTTGTGGGAATATAAAGATGTTATTATAATATTCATTAAGCGAGAGTTGTCAGATTGGAATTCATATACTTCTTTTTATAAAGAGCTTTTTTAAACTGATATTCGAAATGCTATATATATAATTAGAAGTTTATAATAATATATATTTATTTTCATTTTTTTTTTTTTATTAAAAATAATCAAATTTTATATTTATTTGTAAATTAATTCTTTTTATTTTAAATTAATCTTTTTTTTAATAAAAAAATAAAATAAAAATTAAATAATTTATTTAAAAAAATAAAATCAATCTAATTAACTTAAATTATCATCATCTATATTTTTTTATTCATTAAACTATCCGAAATCTGTAATATCACTAGAATTAATACTTTCATCATTTATATTTTAGTAACTTTTATCAGAATCATCATCTTCATTATCTAAAAGAAAATCATTACCATAATTTGGATATAATTCTTTTTATTTTTATTATATATGAGTTTCTACTTCTATTTACCATTAAAATAAAAATTTAAAAATATCGTTTTAATCTTCTTTTTGAAATTTCCAATCATCAGATACGTCAATTTTTTATATTTATTCGTATTTAAATTAACTTAAGTCTAAATCTAAAAGATTATCAAGTTAAGTTAAATGATCGAATAAATTTGTTCCTATTCTAATTCTATTTTTAAATTATTAAGGACTTTATTATAAATAATCTTCTTTTTATTAGATATTTTCTTATTAAAGTGATGTAGTTTCTAAAGTATTTTAGAATTAATTTTTTTTTTTTTTTAATTTTATTAAATTTTTCTTCTTTTATTCTTCTTAATTTTATTGCTTCTCTTCTTCTTATTCTTCTTAATTTTAATGTTTTTCTTCTTCTTTTAATTAAGGATTTTCATATACTTATTCATATATTTATTATTGAATTTCTTAAGTTTTAATTTATTATTATTCCAATTTTTATATATTTTATTCATCCTTTTTTTAGATTTCTATATTAGTTTAAAGTTATTGTTATAAGATTTATTCAGATATTTATTCTGGTTTTATGTTTTCTTATTTTTATATAAATAATATATTATTATCCCCTATTTATTATATATTATTGTTATCGTTTCTAAATTAACTTTATTTTTTTTAAACAATTTATTAACCATCTAAAAAAAATGAACTTTATTAAATTTGTGTTTAAGAATTATTTTATTAAGATGGTTATTTATTATTTCTTAAAATAGATTTTCTGGGCTAAATTATTTTTTTTTTTATTATTTAGGCTATATTTTATTTATTTTATTTATCTTATTTATTTATTATTTAATTTTATTTTTCTTCAATAGAGAGATTTTCTAATAATTTTTAATCTTATTTTTTTTTTTATAAAGTAATTTTTTATTAAATATCTTTTTATAATTAAACTATTTGTTAATTATCATCATCATTATTCTAAAAAATTAATAATATTTTTATAAAAAAATATTATAAAAATTAAAATAAAATACTCTATAAACTATATATTCTTCAATAGCAGTTCTTTATTTTTATTCTCTAAATCTTTTCTGCTTTATTTATTATTATTTATAACTATTAAATAAAATAAATATAATATATATATATATATATATATATATATATATTTATTTAAATATTTTTATTTAATATTAATTAAACTTATATTTTATATTTATAAAATTTAAATTTATTTTTATATATTTACCTTTAATCATATTAATATTCTTAATATTTTTTTTCTTTTTCTTTTTCTTCTTCAATAAATGATTCTTCATATTCAATTTCATATTCTTCTTCTTCTTTTTTTTATTAAAATTGTAATAATTCTATTATTTCTTCATTTTAAAAAATAAATTCTTCTTTTTCATTTTTTTATTTATCCAAACTTACCGAACTTATAATTTTTTCATACTATTAATAACTTTCATCTTTAAAAATATTATCCTAAATTTCACTTGGTAAAGAAGAAAATTTCTATACATCATCAAATACCTCTACAATTGCTTAATCAAAAACTTCCTTTTCAATATTAATTTTCTATTTTTATTATTTCATTTTGTTAAAATTTATTGAATAAAATTCATTATAATCTTATAATTAGGGTTCAAAATAAAAAGGAACTTTAATCAAAAATGATTTTTCTGATAATTTTTAAAGCAAATTTTAATAAGATTAAGCCGCATATTCCATTATTTATTTTAATTGTTAATTTTAGTGTATTTTTTTTTTAATTTTTTAAAATAACTGTTCTTATATTAATTATAATGAGATTTATTTTAAGTCTTTTATTTTTCTCCCTAACTAGTCTATAAAAGTTATTTTTACACAAAAAAGATCATTTTAAACTTATTTATATTTAAAATTAGTAAAATGATTTAATTATTAATCTTCAAAGTTATTTTTTTTTTCATCTACAAAAAGCCATTATTATTGTTTACTTTTTAATTTTTTTTAAATTTTGATTTATTATGATTATTATTTTACTTTAAATAATTTACTCTGATTCATATATAAATCTAAATTTTTTAATGCACTTTTATCATCAAATTTTTTTTTTATTTAATAATTTATTACTTTTTTGATAAACTCATTTATTTAATTAGAAATAATCCTATTTTTTACTATATCTAATTCTTCTCCTTATATACTATAATCCACTAATGAATTATAATCATTTACTTTATATATATTTTTGTGATAATAAAATAATCTTTTTTTCTTTTTTAAGGGTTTAATGAAATTTAATTCTTATTAAAGATATTTATCACACTTTAATTATTTACACAAGAATCCGTTAATAATGAATATTAGTTATTTTTTTAATTTGAAATTATAGAAAAATTATTGGTATTCTCTTTTGTTTTAATTATTGAGTTTTCGTAGTTGATTTATTAGGAAATCTTTTTGAATTTTTTATGTTAATCTTAAACCGAACAATTTATTTTGGATGTTTTTCGAGAGAGTAAACAATTTTTCATTATTTTTAATAATTTTTTATATATAAATTTTATTTTTATTATATTAAAAAATTAATTTATTTTATTTATCAAAATTATTCTTTTAATAATTATTTGAAATTTGTAAATAGTCTGTTTTACTAAGTGAATTTTAAAATACTTATATAATTAATTAATTATATTTAATAAAAAAAAAATAACAAATTATCAAATATTTATATAATAATTAAAAAATAAAATCTTAATAACAAAAAAATACTTAAATAATACAATATATAAATTATTTAAAAAACAAAAAATAAAACAAAAATCATTTTTATTCTTATTATTCTTTTTATTTTTATAAAAAAATTTCATGCTATTATTATAAATAATCTTCTTTATCAGCTAGTTCAGGTATAAATCTTTTAAAAACTGTTGCAATTCTATGCTTAGTTTCACTTTCCAATTCAAACATACATTCTTTATAGCATCTTGAGTCTTTAAAAATACTTACAAGAAAATAATCTTCACTACTTTATTTTTCACAGTCTTTGAAACATTAATCATGTTAATCTAATTCTGAATTAAATTAATTTTTTATGTATTCTTGTAAACCTTTCATACAATGTTAGTCGGCTTCAACCATATTATTAATAGTTATTTATTTATCTGGATTTATAAAATCTTATATTATTGCGAAACTTTATTTGCCATCTTTTGTTTATCTATTATATTCATTATGAAAGTAATTTTCACATCTCCAAAATGCTTTATTATAAGTTTTGTTAATTAAACTATTGTGTTTGCTATTAATAAATCTTTTAAAAGTCTGTAAACGAGATTATTTATTTTGCTCTTATTCACTCATTATTATTATTTATTTTATATATACAATTAATATATATCTTATTTTTTAATATATTATAAAAATTTCGTTTATATTTATATTTTTTTTTTATTGGATGATTATTTGATAGCTTTATTTAGAAATAAGCAAAAATATATAATATAATATAATATTTACATTAGATTTTATATTTTAAAAATTAAGTAAAAGATGATTAAAAAAACGATTTGGATTTATTTATTAAAAAAAATTTCAGGAAGAAAACATTAGGTTTACATATATTTATTTATTTATTATAAACGAGAAATTCAATATGTTTCCAAAATTAAAAATATATTAATAAATAATATAAAAAAATAAATACTATATAAATAAATTCTAATTGTCTTTAATAATCAAAATAAAAAAGAAATATAATAAAAATTAAATTGACAAATAATATATATTTTTTATATATGATGGATTTTGTATAAAATAATTAAAAAAAAAAAAAAGGTAAATAAAATAAGATTAATTAAAAAAAATTAAATAAAAATATAGAAATAATAAATAAAAAATAAATAATAATTTTTTGTATAAAAATATATTATAGTTATATATCCAAAATTATATAATATAAAATATTTTTATTGTAAAAAATATGGATAAAAAGATATATATTAATATAAATATTAAAATAATCAATATATTTTTTAATATTATTTGATTATTTATTATTATTATTGCTATATATAATATATATAATTTTTTATTGTTTGTAGATATATATATTTTTAAAAAATACGTAATTATTAATAAAGTTATAACATTTTATGATTTTTATAATTTTTTTATATGGTTATTATTAATTTTTTTTTAAAAGTAATTATAACAAAAAAATTACTATATAATTATTATTATAAATATGGTATTATTTTTTATATTTATTTGATTTTGTTGAATTTTTATTATAATATTTAATTTAATATATTTGCTTATTTATAATAAAAAAAAAATGAATTTTGTTTGTAAGAGTAAATTATATTCTCCGTAACCAATTAAAATTAATAATATTAAGTAAAATTAATTACCTTATAGTAATCTAATATTATCTACAAATTCTTCTTAATTGAATATTGAATAATGCAGTAAAAATTAATGCAGTTGTACATGTATAGAATCAGAATTATTACAAGAATTAAATCTAATAAGAAATTATTCAATGAATTAATCAAAGATTTATGATTAAAATATAGATTAAAAATATAATATTCATAATTTAATTGATTATAACGAAATTATTTAATAAATCGAAGTTGAATTTTATTAGTAATGCTAAAAATTTAATTGAAAAAATAATAATAATATTAATTAATACTTTGATTTTTTAA